GGTTGTTGGGGGGGGGTGGGAGAGGTTGTGGAAGGTGGATGGCGTCGTAGTGGTTGGATGCGGCTATGGGGGATGGGATGACGTATTTGTTGGGTGATGTTATACAGGTAGTAGAGAGGTTGTAGTGGGTGGCTGATGTTATAGTGGGTGGCTGATGTTATGGTGGGTGGGTTATGTTATGGTGGGTGGGTGATGTTATGGTGGGTGGCTGATGTTATGGTGGGTGGCTGATGTTATGGTGGGTGGCTGATGTTATGGTGGGTGGGTTATGTTGTGGTGGGTGGGTGATGTTATAGTGGGTGGGTTATGTTGTGGTGGGTGGCTGATGTTATGGTGGGTGGGTTATGTTGTGGTGGGTGGCTGATGTTATGGTGGGTGGGTAATGTTATGGTGGGTGGGTAATGTTATGGTGGGTGGCTGATGTTATGGTGGGTGGCTGATGTTATGATGGGTGGCTGATGTTATAGTGGGTGGCTGATGTTTTGGTGGGTGGGTTATGTTATGGTGGGTGGGTGATGTTATGGTGGGTGGGTGATGTTATGGTGGGTGGCTGATGTTATGGTGGGTGGCTGATGTTATGGTGGGTGGCTGATGTTATGGTGGGTGGGTTATGTTGTGGTGGGTGGCTGATGTTATGGTGGGTGGGTTATGTTGTGGTGGGTGGCTGATGTTATGGTGGGTGGGTAATGTTGTGGTGGGTGGCTGATGTTATGGTGGGTGGGTAATGTTTTGGTGGGTGGCTGATGTTATGGTGGGTGGCTGATGTTATGGTGGGTGGGTGATGTTATGGTGGGCGGCTGATGTTATGGTGGGTGGGTGATGTTATGGTGGGTGGCTGATGTTATGGTGGGTGGCTGATGTTATGGTGGGTGGGTGATGTTATGGTGGGTGGCTGATGTTATGGTGGGTGGGTGATGTTATGGTGGGTGGCTGATGTTATGATGGGTGGCTGATGTTATGGTGGGTGGCTGATGTTATGGTGGGTGGGTTATGATGTGGTGGGTGGGTGATGTTGTGATGGTGAGGTCTTGGGGACAGGGTATGGTTAAGACGGTGGGTGAGGTTGTGGAGGGTGGGTTATGATGTGGTGGGTGGGTGATGTTGTGATGGTGAGGTCTTGGGGACAGGGTACGGTTAAGAGGGTGGGTGAGGTTGAGGTGGGTGGATGAGGTCGTGGTAAGTGGGATATGATTTGAACTTTTTATACAAATAATTTGACATTTCATACAAAGTAAAGACTCCACCGAATGGAGAAAAGAAAATGGAGTGGGTGGTGTGGGGGTGCGAGAGCTGGGTGGGGGTGGGGGAGCTGGGTGGGGGTGGGGGAGCTGGGAGGGGGTGGGGGAGCTGGGGTGTGGGTTGCTGAAGTGAGATGTTCACACTTTGATTTTGGCGTTCTGTGTGAGTAGCAAGGGTGGGCGGGGTTGAGATGGGGGTGTGGGGTGTGGGGGTGTGGGGGTGAGATGTTCACACTTTGATTTCAGCGTCCAGGGAGAGTCTTGGAACTTTGTCAACACGGGAAGATGGCGGCAACCAAATGTTTGCTCAGTGCCGAGGTGACTGGCGGGTTGGGGGAAAGGGGGCGGGGAAGATTTGCTGGAGGAAGTGACGTCATCGACTGCTGGAAGGGATACAGACGATGGGAACTTTCCTATAGAAGATGGTAGGTTGATTCTTGTAATTTAGAAGATGGTACGTTGATTCTTGTAATTTAGAAGATGGTACGTTGATGCTTGTAATTTAGAAGATGGTTCGTTGATTCTTGTAATTTAGAAGATGGTACGCTGATTCTTGTAATTTAGAAGATGGTACGTTGATTCTTGTAATTTAGAAGATGGTAAATTGATTCTTATAATTTAGAAGATGGTACATTGATTCTTGTAATTTAGAAGATGGTACGTTTATTCTTGTAATTTAGAAGAAAGAAGTTTGTATGTTAAACTATCTAGAATAATTTGATTGTTCGTGTTTTGATAGAGATGAAGCTGACAGTGGATGAACGTACGTTATGACTAGTATGGTAGGTTGCTGTGTGTTGTTTTTCGCTCTCTCGATGCCTACCAACTTGATAAAAGACACTTCCTCATCTTTGATATTTTTTCTAAACTACGTGTTGTTTATAGTAGTATAGCACAAGCTTCTTTTTAAAAGCTTTTTTTTTTGTGTAAAATAATGACATCATGGGTTCCAGAGCCAGCATGATGCCAATCTGGAGAGACAACTTGTCAAATGCATGCTGGGGTGTACAATGCATGTTAACGACAGACACCTGCGTGCTTGTGATCGTAGAGTCTCACTGCCGAGCCATGAAAGAGCTGGACATAGAGCAATCAGTACTGACTGGTTTACGTTGATTTTAAAGAGCTCGTTACGAAGTTCTTGTATTGTTGAACTCAAGCAAAAACTCGCGGGCCAGCACTTGGTTATGTGGTGACCACTTGATTAGAAAACCTCCCCGCCCCTGCACCCAACCCCGCTGGATCAATGAAGACCGTGTTAT